GAATCTGTTTAGAATAGATATATAATATAATTATAGTTAGGTATAACACATATGTTTAAGAAGTTCATTAAAAAAATGAACAAAAATTTTATATCATAGAATCTATATATAGTCTTGAACTCTAATTAAGAACTTCATTTTTTCCGTGACTAAATATTATATAGGGAGCAGGTATTTACTAGTAGTAATTGCTTATTGAGATTAACTTAGACATTCACAATAATGTTATTATATTTTACTTATTTTCTTACAGAAAAACGAAGACCATTGAAATGTAGTTTTCAGACACAAGGAAGTGATATGACATTAATTAATTCAACAAATTCTTCCCTTTCCAATTCGAGTAGTGGAGCTACAGCAGCATGCCCACCTATGTAAGATATATCTAAATCTGAATACAACATCAAAAGAAACATAAGATTGTTTCTTAGCATTATGTGTAATCCTAGATCTTTTCGTCCAAGTTTGCCTTTATCTTTGCCAAAACTGCCACTAAGACCACGTTCTGCAGTTCCAGCAGAACTCCCTGATAAAGCAAGGTAATTAAATTAATCGTTATTATTTAATAACGATTGATTAAAAGTATCGAATTGTTAAATAATACAACCTTATTAAGTAGTGTAATTTCTATTTGAAATATTGAGTATATTGTCTGATTTGTATGTGTATTAATAAGATAAATTGCGATATATATATCATAGGGATAAGTTACGAATGTGTCAGTCCATGCAAAGTACTGGAAAATTACAGCTATCACCGAATATGATATATGATTTTACAAGTGAAGATCTTCAAGATCTAGGGGAAATAGGACGGGGAGGATTTGGTACTGTAAATAAGATGATTCATAGGATAAGTGACACTGTTATGGCTGTGAAGGTAGACAATTTAATTTATTTATTTTATCTAATCCACTTTAATGTTTACAAACATATTCGATTACAGAGAATTCGTTCCACAGTGGATGAAAGGGAACAGAAACAACTATTAATGGATTTAGAAGTTGTAATGAAATCCAACGAGTGTCCATGCATTGTGCAATTTTATGGAGCTTTATTTAAAGAAGTATGTTTTTGGATCTATAATAATTTATTATTATACTTAAATAGACTATTGATAACATGAATTACAAATTTTCATAAACCAAATTACATAATAGACTTTATTTCTTTCCTAATATTTTTTTTTGTCATATTGTGTTTAGGGTGACTGTTGGATTTGCATGGAACTGATGGATACTTCATTGGATATATTTTATAAATTTATTCATGAGGTATTGAAGGATAGAATACCAGAACGTATTTTAGGAAAAATTACTGTTGCCACAGTGAAAGCATTGAATTATCTCAAAGAAGAGTTGAGAATAATTCATAGAGATGTAAAACCTAGCAATATTCTATTAGACCGACATGGTAATATAAAACTGTGCGACTTTGGTATATCAGGACAATTAGTAGATTCAATTGCACGCACTCGAGACGCTGGATGTAGACCTTACATGGCTGTATGTAAAGTAACAAATTAAATGGAAGGTATTAAAGTTATTTTGTGGATACATTGAAGAGGTTCATTTTATTGTCATCTTTTAGCCAGAGAGGATAGATCCTCAGCGCGCAAGGGGCTATGACGTGAGAAGCGATGTATGGTCATTGGGAATTACATTAATGGAAATTGCTACAGGTTATTTCCCCTATCCTAAGTGGAATTCAGTATTTGAGCAGCTTTATCAAGTAGTTCAAGGTGATCCACCAAGGTTATCGCCCAATGAAAATGGAAACCACTTCACTATGGATTTTGTAAACTTTGTGAACACATGGTAAATTATTTCAAGTATTTTAATTTCACGTATTCACAGATTTTTACAGACTACTTTCCTTGCATTTTTATTCAAGTTAATCACATATTGTTATTCTTAAAGTTTAATTAAAGAAGAGACACAACGGCCGAAGTACAACAAATTATTAGAACATCCCTTTATCAGGAAAGCGGAAGAAGACACGGTAGATGTTGCTGCATACATAAGTGGTGTTCTTGATAACATGGTTCTCAGGGGTTTGACGCCTTTTACCACTAATCGACATTAAATTAAAAAACATAAGGATATAAACATTTGTACCTTAATTTCTATTACTTTTTTGAAATCTTCAATCTGATTATTGTAAATGAGCAGGTCATTTGCACTTTGGTCTAGTATAGATAGTAAAATTAATCGACATCGATCATTGTTGATAATAAATAATTTTGTGTAGAATCATATACTGTGGTGTTACAGAATCCTTATATACATAAAAATTAGAAGTGTTCTAACAAGTTAAAATTTATTAAGTAATACATAGAATGAACATTTTCAATTGATCTTTCATTTGAAATTATGACAAGAAGATTGTAATTTTATTACCTGCTTTATATTAGAAACCCTGAAAATAAAAGTGTTGTAACTCCATAGCTACGATATTTGTTACATGTAACGACAGAAGAACCAATTCGGTTATTTGAGCTTACATCCTTCTCATTCTCAAGGTTTCATATCACAATTTGTGACATGTGTTACAATTGAGTCGAAATCATCAAATCCTTCCACTGGATTTCAATCGAATTTTTGAATTCGTTGCAGCGTACTGCAATATTATTTCTCAATTTTTCACATGTCAATCATGTTATGTATTGTATCAAATCATTCATATAAATGAAAGAGCATGTGAAGAAATATGATTATTCTTATTGTAGTATACGAGAGAGAAATGTAAATTTAAAATTTATTGTCTTGTTACTACCGCAAAATTAATCCATATTATGCTATACTACAATATGAATATCAGCTTCCCAGTAGTTATGTTCCTTCTTTTTTTGAACACGTGTAAAACTGATTCTACCACGTTTTATTCCAAAGTTGAAATGGTTTGAGTAGAATTGTTATATAATGATTCTGATAGAAATGGTTCTAAAAAATCAGAGTGATGTTAGATCAAATAGAATTTAATTTGTAATTGTTTCAATTACGATTTTGTAGAATTTTCTATTTTGGAAACTAATGAAGTTTTAAATTCATAAAGGAATGTGAATGCGAAGCAGATATATTTCAAGGAACAGTACAGATCTAAATCAGAATCGATTAGTAATCGTTATGTAACGACCCATACAAAATTACCAGAGACCTTTTTACCCATAGCTGTTGTTATAAACATCATTTTGATTTTGGTGACTATCGAAAATCAGAACCAATTTATAGCCATTTTTAATCGCTTTTCTTATTCGATTTTCTTGTTCAAATTAAGAATTAAAATAAACATGTACGAATACGCAAAATAGCGCAGTTCCTTCGTTAAATTGTATATGCGTATGTATATATACGTACTGATAAATAATATGTATAAATATTATTATAGGTCTAACATTCGTATGAACATATGTGCACAGAGTGTAACAGAATGAAAAAAAATTTAATAGTAACACTTGGCTATAAAATTTAAATTGTTGGGATGAGATGTGCATTATAAGACAATATTGCTAAAGAGAGATAATAACGAACGATACTGAGATATTGTGAATACTAGGTGAAATTAATAAGCATTTTTCAAATATATGTGGCTGACTGTCATTTTGATTCCTTATGATTTGTGTGGCAGCGTAAGGCGCAATCAAATTCTACTAGTCATATTATATTTATAATCATGTATGTATTAAATTTATACTTATAAATTTGATCATTGTTGATTATACTTACAGATATATTTATTTTTGTGGCTTTTTTCTAAATTTCTGAGTTTACAGGATTTTTAATATAATTTACATATCTAGATTCTTGATTGGGATCATTTCTAAAATAAATTAAAGGATAACTATAGATAAAATAATGTATATGAGCAATATTTTCGCAAATGACGTTACTTATTTCATAGAATTATCATAAAAATCAATAATCGATATTTGTAATCGATAAATATATGTGTTCACTTACACATGTATTTAGATTTGGAAAATGTTGACAATGGATACTTATTGTAAAACAAGTAATTCACTCTGTGTACATATGATGGTATGATGTACACTTGCGCGATTATGTAAACTGTATATACGCATAAGTCATTAGACTTAATGTTTACTTATATCAACTTTTTTTATTAAAATTTAAATGCATAATTCGGTAGAGTGGAATTGATAAAAGACAATTGACACGTGCAATGAAAACTGAATTTTTTCTGTTGTTGTACCAGACACTGGATACATCACATCTGCTAGGAAATATTTTGTTATTTGTTAACCAAACTTTTGCGAATCATTGGCAATATTCGTTTATATAAATTGGCAATCATTTTGACAAATGTATTAGTTTAATGATTTGTATTATTTCTTCTACACGTGTATGCAATAAAACAATTTCATATGCTTCTAAAATTTTTCAACTTCTTTCTCGCCGAGAATATTGTAAATTAGAAGGAAAATGCTATGTTTATCTTAACTAATAATATTAATTATAAATTCTTTATTAACAAATAAAAAAATGTATAGAATTTCAAGAAAATATAGAGGTTTCAAGAAAATATGAGATTGGATAAAAATTATACAGATTAAACATTAATTGGCTGTTCCATTAAACATAACAGTATAGTTCTACCATTGTCTACGCTTTGAGAAATCAAGTACCAAATTGCCGCCAGATTTCAAATCAAAGGAATGAAGGAAGGTCACGTGACGCTGTATGGTTCATTTTGTCTCCACAAGGGGTCTACTGTCTCTCACGCAAGGGTCGAAGACGCGTTATTAGCGAGTACTCGCTAATTTGCTTTTTAAATATTAATTTAAATATTGCGACTTAACAGTAATAAAATATCAATTATAACGTGGTTAGAAGTGCGGTGGTGCAATTTGTGGCAAAATTCTGACGTTTTCGTAGAAAATGGGTAAGTTTAAAGTTTTGCTTCGTTGTTCTTTGGCGGAATTCCGTTATTGCGTTCTTTTGCACCGAGATATTTACTAATTGCTTCGTATAATTAATATTTCGGAGCTAATAAATCATTTTATTGAGTTAGTATCGGATATTCTATTTGTATTTGCTTGCTCGAAAGTAGCTGCGGGAAATGTCATTCGTCTCTTGCACTGGTAACGGTTTTCCAGCTCCTTCTAAAGTTTCACAAGCAGTTCGAATTTTCGACCAATCACAGGCCACCATTCTCGCGCCACTCATAGTTTACGCGCAAGTCGTACGAGTAGGATCGCGGGCTTCTAGCTCCTTCGAATTTACAAATATTTAGTTGATTTAATAGTTTTGCCATTGTTTAAACATAATTTGTTAAACAAACAATGTATATTTTTTATGTAAGCAACTAGCACTCTTCAAATTAATGAAGTAACATTATTAGATAAACAAACACTATTACAACTTTTTAAAATAAATAATTATCATTTTTATGCACTATGAACATTTTTTATGTTTATAGATCAACATGACTTCAAATGTTGTTAGCAGAGTAACCAGACAAACCAGAAGCTATTGATGATCGTGGAAAAATTCTGTAAGTTTATTTGTCTTTTCAAAATTATTTAGATTAATTTTCTGACTGAAACAAAATTATATTTAATCATTAAATGGAACAATAACATGCATTTCAATACTATCCATAGGATCTTTATTTTGGCTTTGTAAACATCCACAACCACAAGCAGCAATTCAAAACCATTACCAAACGAGATCCACTGCCGATTGCAGTCAGTAATCACCGATCGGTGAGTCAATGTATTCAACGTTTTCTTAATTTATATAAAAACAAGCCTAGCAAAGAGCTTCATAAGTTGCAGAGAATTGAAGAATAACTTTACATTGTTTCCAATTGGAAGCCATTTTCTAAGTGTTACGTTGATCATTTATATTATTTCACTATATTGGTACAGTAATGTACCCTCCGGGGCTTGCACATCACCGAATCAAAGAAATTATAACATCATTTAAACTTTGGCTTTCAAATCTCAAAACTGTAATACAAATGAGATATACAGAATACTCGATTCTTGCTAAGAAACTTCCTGAAATATCGGCAACGATGAGCGCGACAGTAATGGCAATGAGGAGAACCAACTTTTAAAGTGCACAATTAAATAATGTAGAAAATGCTAATGTAACGTACTTGAACAGAGAATTTCGGGTTAAAGACAAAAAGGCTGTTGGGCGTTTTCGCCGTTTTACCAAATTACGGGAACTGTACCTTGAATTAGTAGAACACACTATGTGTACATATATGTTTATTTAATATATTGTCTACTGGTACTGTATAGTCTGCGCATCGGTGAATTATGCATACGTATTCTTTGAATCGATCTCACTGTTTAAAAAACTTGTCTACATGTTCTATCATTTTGTATTCACTTTACAATATCATCTTTCATTTAACCGTGATAGTATCGCCATCGTTGGTACTGCTAATGTACTCAACGGAATCAATTTTATTGAATATTTGATGGCAGTACCATCATTCTCGTGAAATCTATACTCGCATTCATGGCTATATCCGTAACCTGGCTGGGCAGTAGCTAGCTTTTTAAGTTATCCATTGATATGCGTCCACATCATTTCATACCATGACCTATAAATATATTGTAAGACCATGCGGCGAAACTAAACGTATCCGGGTCGATCCACATAACTTCGAGGAAAGAGAACCACGCATTTTTGAGCATCAACGAAAGTTCACTCTTAAAGGAGCGTGCAACCATGCGAGCCTAATAAAATCGCTCAAATTTTGCTGTTGCATATAAAAAGCCAGTAACGAAAGAAGATTTTTCTATTCGCAGAATTCTTCTTTTATTCTTTTCTATACGCAGCTTGCGTCAACCGATTTGAAGTAATAGAAAATTAAGTTTCATTAGATCTTTCAATGAAATTTAATCATAAACTTTAAATTATATAATAGATTTTCACTATAAATTTGGATCACAAAATAAAAAAAATAGTACTTCAGTCACCGCACAGTGAACTAGTCCCTCTAACATTAAAAAAGAAAACATTCAAGTCATCCAGCCTAGTTTTAAAAAGTGTTCGAATACTTTTTGCCAAGGGGTAAAATTGGACTATAAATGTAGTCTATATAGACTATAATAAAATTGGGCTATAATTGGAATGTAAGTGAGTATCTTTTCTTTTTTAGAACACCATCTGCAATGGATAATATTTTGGATTTGGAGAGGCTGGCAGTTTATAACCGATCGAAATTTATTGTCGATCTATCGAACTTGGAAAAATCAACTTGTGGCCAGTAAAATCGGGTTTCCAGACCGTTGTGGGCTGGCCACGGCAGTCGTCGCAGGTAATGCCAGATAGTGATGGAACGGAAAGTGATTATGAGTCACAACCTGACGCGGCTGTATGCTCAGGGGAGGGTAGCAGGTGCAACTATTGTTAGTGCTGGTGGTACTGGTGGTGCTGCTGGTGCTACCATTACTACCATTACTGCCAGCTTACAGGGGTAGCCAGCTGGGTAAGCCAGTAGGGGAACGGATGTTCCCAGGAGATTATTGATCGTGCAGGTAGATACTTCCACTTGCGACTACATACAGGAGCGACAACCAACCACGCCAGAACCTACAACTGAATTTATATTCTTCTTTCCCTTTGCCAAAGGGTTGAAATTTCGGACAGACAGATTTTTCTTGGCCGTCGGACGCTGTAACATCCGTTGGATGATTCGACCATCTTATCCTTTGCGAACGTAATCGTTACGCGACTGCGGATTTTTATGCAAAATGAAAGCCCTCTGCACCAACTGCAATAGATAGGAACTAAATAGTACGTTCCTTCGGTTTTAAATCATTCTAATAGATCAAGAATAACACACATTGACGTTTTCGAATTCTTTTAATCTTTTCTACTATTTTAAATTGCAACTGCTCCGTTTCATGCACGGAGTATTATGCATTTATAAATGCATAAAATCCGCAGTCTAGTAATAAGGCTACATTGTATTTAAATTTACATTGGATTTAGATCTTGGGCAATGTGCAGCTTACACTTTAGCCTTTAGCATTCGGATCTCAACAAAGTAAAGATTCGTATTATATTATTATTTTTATTATATCATTTAGTTCAATTATCGTTTCTTTACTTCGGTCTTTAGACTTTAGGCTGTTTAGCATTATTAAATTTTAAGCTTTAGCATTTTTTGGCATAAGTTAGGACCATGTTGTAAATAAATAAAGAAGAGGGAACGTTTCTAAAATTAACTGCAGCGGATTCGAATAATGTCTTAGTCTTCTCAGGTTGTCGAGATCATCGAAATCGTTGTCCAGACGTTGTTGTACTTAATCATCGAAATCGTCGGGGAAAAGTATCGAGCGGACGAGTATCGATTATTCGACGAAATTGATTACGTGGTAAACACGTTGTCGCCTGAATATTTAAATGCTGTAACATGGTTCCGGGAACGGTGGGCTGGTCGAATATTCGGATAACGCCCCCGCGCGAAGGTTGCGGCGTACAACCGCGTGCAAGGTGAAATTGCGTCTGCGTTTCGTGCGACTCTGTCAGGGAAATTTTTCCCTAACGATCCCGGCAGACGTCGGCCAATAATAACCAGGCCTCTGAAATTTAACACGCCATTCTCGGCCTCGTCGAATGGCCGCGCTCCTTTCCCCACTCTTTCGCAGTTGGATATCGCGAGTGACGGTCACTGCCTTCCTGATTCGATCAATGAAACTACCTCTCGCAGACCGACTAGGTTATGCGTCCACCCCTAGTTTAGATCCAACCAACTGATTTTTAGCTGCCCTCTTTCGATATCGATGCGTGCCGACCATCGATAGCACACCGTCGTTTACTCGTTTATTTATTTATTAATCTCGCATTTTCATTTTCATTTTCGTCCCCTTCGATCGGCAGAATTCATCGCCGCCAAGTCTCCAGATATTCTCATCCCCTCGGTTCTCTAGAAAAAATCGCGATACACTCGGTTCGAAAGTTCTCGATTAATTAGACCGGATTTTTTTACGATATTCCAAGAGAGATAGAGTTGTCGACAACGAGACGATGCGTTACCCGGGAAATTCGTTTCGATAGGGTGTTATTTCTCACGCGAAGAAATAACTTGTTAATCAATATGTTTCTGTCGTATTACTACGCGCGACATGTGACAACAATATTATATGGAGCGTGGAGAGTATAGCTGTAGCGTAGAGAGAGAAGTGAGAGTATTAATAGAGTTGGTTTTATAAGAATTTATTCGTATGATATTTTATTCGAATAGAACTTTATTCGAACAATTTATTCGAATAAAGCTTTATTATAATTCGAAGAATTTGTTCGAAAGATCGTTCGAATAGAATTTTACAAGTCGAGATAAAAATTGTCCGCTAATAAGATCGGCAACTGTTCCGCGCAGAGGAAAAATTGTTTCGACATCGAAATTATTTTACAGTATAGCCAAACAGTTACAAATTCATGCGATGTTTCCGTAAAAATACGACGATCCAGAACAGAACCGTACGGTGTTCTTCGGCGACGGAAATGAAGTGATCGACAACGATTCGGTATTATAGTCTTCGAAGCCATGAGGGCATGTGCACACCATGGGGGCCGTTGCAGCCGATGCAGTCAGGTGTGTCCTCGACAGAAACGAAAAAACAGTTGCGGCATTTCCATGCTTATCGTTCTTTCATTTTTACCGTCGCGTCTATGGTGGTTTCGTTTCAAGGAAATACAGTGAAAATTCTCTCTAATTTTCTCTCAGCTTATAAAGAAAAATGGACGATTCGAGAAGAAGGAGATACGATTATTCTAGCCTCGCACCTCGTTTTTATAATTTTTGTTTACAAGCTGAAGGGGGAAATTGGGGAGAATTTACTGTATATATATATATTATGAGTCTCTATTTTATCCTCTGTTGTCATTTTATATAATAGTAGAATTTAAAAAAAAGGTATGCTAGTCATTGTATCGTGAACTAGTTCTTTCAATACTTAAAAAAGGATTCGAGTCGCTTAGACCTGTTCGAAAAAAGTTATCGCGTTTTAAATGGTGATCGAATACTTTTTGCATTCTATTATTATATATCATATATTATTATTATTATTATATTATATTATATACACTATTATTATCTATATCATTATTACATATTATTATATATATTTAAGGTTTACGCTTAAGTGCACTCACTCAACTGTCCAGCGAATGAATCTCATCGGAGATCCGAGTGGCCGCAATTAAAAAGATGTATCATTCAAATCTGAATGATCATAAATGAAAAAAATAAGTGATTTCCACGTGATTCCCAGTGTCGAAGTCCTAGCTACGGCCGGATTCTCGATAGCTTCCGTGGCGAAACCGAAGAAACAAGAACAGCGAGAAAAATACGCGAGGAAAGCACGCGTGGGCGCGTTCCCCGTTAGACCCCCGTGCACCCCGTGAAATTAAGGGAAGGGTGTAACGCGCGTACATATGGTCCACCTGCGAAAGGGAGCCAACACCTGTCCCGCTCTGTCCTGCCGCGCGTAGCTAAGCCCGGCGTGCAAGCCCGAAGCTCGAGCGTGCAAGTTCGAAGCGCCAACCACGGCCTGTGGTCGGCTCTACGCCTTGTCTACGGTTCTCCGGTAAAGAAGCTAGATTCAAAGTGGGGGGTTATCTGGGCTTTCGCTAACCCGTGCTAGTAGTTTCGTTCGAACGATCATGCGGTTTAGTCATTTTACCGCGCACCTCCGCGGCCGTTCATACGCGTACACGCGACACAACAAAACGTGCTAGCGTCCAGATCATCGACGCGCACGCTTTTTCCTGAGAAAGCGAGCCGCCTCGCGGTCCGCGACAGATTCCGAGTGCGTCGAAAAAGCGTCCCCGGATAAGCTTCGAGCCTCCGTCGGCCGATCGTGCGACGGTCCCAGGGTGCCTATACACAGCTGTCGCTCGGAAAGTGCTTCGTGTAGACGAATGTGCGACTAATTCGTCGATCCAATATCGTCGCGAATCCTCGGATCGGTCTCCCCGCGACGCGAACGACGCCGAGAAGCTTCCTCCGGCACGCGTTCTCATCGGGAAAGGCACGCGTTTTCCGTGCACGCCGGTGAGTCGAAATACGCGGAACGGCGGAGCGGTTCGCAGCAATTTTCCGCGGCGATCGATGAAATCAATTCGAAAAATATTCCACCCCCACCGAACGGATTCTATACACCCAGGTGATACACGGTACGGCGTTGTCGCGCGACTGTGCCGCGTAATTCGCTAAACATTTATCCGACACGTTTTCGACGCGACACAGTTCCCCGCTGGAACCGTTCGATAAAACACGATCCAAAGGGTTCTGGCTCGTGTGAAATATTCATTAGGAATAGGCGAGGGGTGGTAGCCTCGCGAAATCCGGCGCGGGGGAGGGAAGCGTGCCGGGATCTTGTTGACACTGTTCTCGGGAAATTATTAAACCATCGTTCGTTACTTCGTTCGCCGGTTTGTTCCTACGCGAGAGGAAGGGATTTTACGACGTGTTTCGTTCGAGAAGGGAGTGTGTAGGATTCTCTTAGATCGTTCGGTGCGACGAGAGAGCAGTTGCGGGGGTTGTGGAAGGGTCGCGGAAACGTCGGAAATAGTTGAATTATAGAAAAATTGTGGGGAACCGTGGGGGAGTTGTAAAACATCGAATTTTAGAGAAATTGTTGCGGTATTGGCGGAAGGGTTGTAGAAGATTTGAATGCTCGGAGAATTGTAGAAGAATTATGGAGGCATCGTTGACAAATTCTAGAAGAATCGTAGAAAATTGTAGAGATTTTTACTTAGAAAAATCGTGGAACAAGTAGCCGAGAAATCGTGAAGAATTATTTGTAACGGAGAAACTTGTAGAAAAATTCTGCAACAAGCTGTAGATAAATTGCAGAAAAATTGCCGAAAAATTGTCGAAAAATTGCAGAAAAATTCCAGCAAAATTATAGAAATTGAACGCAACTGACCAATTAATGACTTCGCGTGTAATAGGTAGCGAATCGAAGGTACCAGTTGCTTGACCGTACGACCATTTTACGCAGATCACCGTGATCCTTCTTACATCCTGACCGTGCAATGAGAGATTATCAAAATGAAGGCGGAGGTGATCGTAATTGAGACACCAATGGACCGTGGTTCATCGGCGATGAAGGAAAGCATACACGATGACGAATTCGGCGTCGAGGCAGAGCTGACGAGCCTCTCGTGGTTACAATCGCTCGATATTACAAGTGCTTCTAATTTACCAACACCGCCCTGTTCTCCATCTCCTCCACCTGTAAATAGACAAGCAAAAAAAAAACTTTCGCCTTTGATCAAGGCTGAACTGGGTAAGTGACCACCCCCTTGTCGGCAACGATTGCACACACTTTGGAACACTTTGGAACACTTTGGATCATTTGGAACATTTGGAACACTTTGGAACAACTACTATTTCAATTTTAATTAAAATTAATCTAATTTTAATTCGGAATTTCAATTTCCGACTATTAATTTTCATTTCTTAAAGCCTTTTCAAAGAGTGCTTTGAAAAATATGTTGAGAAACATAAAATTATAAATTATCCTAAGCCGACTCGGTTTGTCAATTATTATTAATTTCGAAGAATCCGCACGAAAAGATCCATATACAAATATGCTATAAAATATAAAGATCAACATATTTTATATACATATTTGTGCACAAATAAATGCACGCGTTTCCACGTCAGAAAAATGTTATTGTTGGAGCCGAGTTAAATTTCAATAAAATAAGAATTAACACCCTAAAACGTCCAATTAAATTTTCAAGAAAAAGTCACACTTCCAACGTTAGGAATTTCTTCTGCAATCTGTACCAAATACGGTGCATTTCTTCTATAATTTTCCTCAACGATTTAAACATTACGACATTTAAACATATCGACGATTAGGGGGGGGGGGGGCGACTTCGATTTAGACGGAATAAATCAAATAAAATTCCGAGGACCGGCGATCTCTTTGCGTTTCGCGGCGCAACTTGGTTGTTTTCCGAAAGATATCGCATTAACATTAGCTCGTTTATGAAAACGCAAATAACCGGACGCCGCGGGTTATATTATATATCGTCGTAATGTAGTATTATCTTCTTTCATTAATCATGAACCCGGCTCTTGTACTATTGACCGGCAGCGCATTTGCCAGGAACATGCTAGGAAACATGTTATCATTCGGGTTCGTTCCGAGGATACGTGCATGCATGCATACGCGTCACGAATATCGGAATTCATTGAAATTTCAATTCAAACTTGTAATAAAATAATTATAACAAATATTTCTAATCGAATCTGTATTTATGCGAATACGCGAAGCGGCGTTCGAATTCGGAGCTCTAGCTATCACGTTTCTGAACAAATCCTGTTAATACTTGTACATCTTTCACTCGACTGAATATCCCCGTAGAATTTGGTCACATAAAAAATCGCTGTAAAACTGTTCTCATGGAACAGATATTTCAGAATTTACATAATAAAGATTCCATGAAAACGAGTTATTTTAGAATACATCTTCGAAATAGTTTTGCAAAAAAATTGCAATTATATGTACGTCACCTGATTAATAAATTTTGTTTTCATTATCTACGCACACACACGCACACACACTGCCACATCGTGGCAGACAAAATCACAAAAGGTTCCAAAGAGATAATCACAAAAATCTCGTCGCACGATTCGAAACAAATGGGAGACGATTTTGTAACAGTAGCTTAAATGACAAATATATTGCTAATTACTTCTTCCCATAGATTTGGCCGAGAACGCCGAAAAGTATCGAACCGATCCAGACGCAAAACCGCCATTTTCTTACGCCACGATCATATGCCTGGCGATGCGAGCGAATAACAATAAAGTGTCTCTATCGAACATATACGCCTGGATCCGGGAGAACTTTTTATTTTATAAATATGCTGATCCGGCCTGGCAGGTAAGTAATTCGATGGAATAAGGGTAACTATTTGCGACAACCCCTTCGCGATTTCGATGGAATACTTCACAGAGTTCAACAGTTCAGCTAGGACAAACGTTGCACTTTGCTCTCGAGACTTGTAATTGTCGCGGATTTTAATATTCTATTTTACATAAAACATACGCGGTATAATTACTACGCTCTGTGTTTAAGTTCGATCGAAATCGTGGGGAAGAATAATGTAAATGATGTAATTAATAATGTTAATCAGCGAAACGAGCGTCCGATTAATTGTTGAACTTTCCGTACAGAATTCGATTCGGCACAACCTGTCGTTGAACAAGTGTTTCGTGAAGCTGCCACGGTCGAAGGGCGAGCCGGGGAAAGGCGGCTTCTGGAAGCTGGACTTGGAGCGTATGGAGGAGGGCAAGAAGCTGAAGCGACGCGCGACGATGTCGCAGCGTGTCCGCGGTATGAAGAAGCAAAGCCCGGTGACCAAGATTCTAGTGAACAATCCGCTGAACCATTGTGCACCGTCGAACAGCTCTCTGTCGACGCTGTACGAGACACCCCCGAGTAGCGTGTCCCCGCCAATTCCAGACTGTCTCTCCGAAATGACCGACTCCACGCAAGTTAGTTTAAGCGAGGACGACCTCACCGGCTTGTTAATCGCGACCGCGGGCTGGGACGAGAATCAGCTGGATCTGTTGGATTCTCTTCTGGACACGCTGTAGGATCGTAGGACGTAGAAATGTAGAGAATCAACCGGTCGATTTTCTTTCACGACTCGATTATGCTCAAAGACCGTTTCGTTCTCGTTTCTTACCGATGCGCGTCTGATTTCGTTCCTAGGTCAGTAAATTCTCCTCGATCGACGCTTGGGTTGTGCGCAAGAATTGGGTAATTCGGGGAGAGGAGATGCGATATTTTACAGCTATCGATTGTCAACGACTGTAAAAATGGCCCACGAGGCTCGAACGATCTTATCTCCTCTTCCAGAAATTGTCCAGTTTTCTTGCGCAGCCTGAGCGCGAATTAGGGAGAAATTACTGTATATAGAAAATTTTCTTTTAATCGACGCTTAGGTTGTACGCAAGAATGGATAATTCGGGGAGAGGAAACACGATTTTTATAGCTTGTCGGGGAAAAAAACGGGCCGCGAGGCTCGAACGATCTTACTTACCTCCTCTTCCCAAATTGTCCATTTTTGTGTTTAATCTGAGCGCGAATTAGGGAGAAATTACCGTATATTCCGTCCGTCTCTAGTTTACCGAAATATACCGACATATACACGAAATATAACTATACATACTTGCGATCAATCCGCGAAGTATATAACGTATCAGGGTCTCGCGGAACGTTCCAATTGTCTTTTGACGAATAGTATCGTATTAGTCGTGATACTTCTCTTGGCACCTATTTCAATCGTGCACGTATTTCTTGGCGGATTTAACATTGTTTTGTCCGCGAAACGGACGCGTACAAAACGCGCGTCTCGTTCAGCGTATCTTTGTTACTTTTCTAATGCTATTTATTTGTGTGCAGTGTATCTTCTACGAGTCGAGATGCTTTGAATAACGCGATATAGCGAAAGTAATCGGATACACGTGCGTCGATAATAGGTGGACGCGTCGAACTTTTCTCTGTCGCGAACCGACTTTCCTGTCGTGAAGCGCGTAGACTTTCGGAACGAACAGCGTGTGCGTGTATATCAGCCCTTTGTAACTCGTCGACGAGCAATATTCCATTGTCCGGCGACACCCACCGCTGTTCGAAATAAGTTCTCGCGCACCTTACTTACTCGCACTTATTATTTGACCGAGGAAGCAGACAGAAAAAAATCTTACCACGTAAAGAACGTACACGTAAGCATAAACGTAATCATAAAGCTCTAGTTGGTACATACATACATTATGATATTATAATATTGTCTAAGGGAGAAAGAACGATTCAAATGTTTGCGATTGCGTTAACGTGTATAGTGCCTTCGAATAAGTAAGAAACATTTGCATTTTGCGATACGATATATAGCATAAATTTGCCAAGTCCATTAATTCGTATGAAGTACGGTTTCTATTTCTGTTTAGGAATCATGTAGACACGAAGTGCCTTATAAGTATTATTGGAAAATAAATTGCTTGACTCGAAAGAGATACTCGCTCTCGTACGATGAACATTAACATTTGACACGTAAGAACGAAATTATCGATTGATTATTAACAATATCGACTACTGGTCGTCGCCGTTAAATTGTAGGTATTATCAGTTTACGTTTATACATGCAACGATTAACCTTCCGATACTTGAACGCGAATAAGAGAAATCAGTGTTGCGTTTATTCGATCGTATCTAATTCACGAATCGAACGTATTCGCGTGTACATACAGCCATCCGACTAGATTCTTTGATTACAATGATATGCGCGTGTCAAATTTATTATTCTATTTTGCATAACTTCGATCCTGTCGACGAAATGATTACGTCGCAGTGGTTGCAATCGAAATTGTTTCCCGAAAACTCCGACATAGAAATGAACGAGTTTGCAAACGTAGAACGAATTAGCAAATTATTGTGGGTGAGAATATTTGATTCTACATTAATTTCCTCCATTTAATTCGTCTTACAATTTACGTTAACACGTAGAACCACCCTAGAACAACCCTTGTAATTGTAAAATATTATGCGACACACTGCAGTGTTGTTGCAAACGAAATTCTCGAGAGTCCCGTGTCGAGGAATTTTCACGTAGGGAATATTTGTGTGGATCAATCGTAGAAATAACTCCTGTTTAAAGAAGACTGGACCGTTTGAAGAAGATAGAAATTTCTCTTCTCTTACTTGTACACGACTTATACTTTAAGCATCCGAGTTTCTCCGAGCGAGCTTTCGGAACATTTTCAACTTTCGAAAGCGTCGCCCGATGTACATACACACATTATATGCACATTCTCTATAACAAAGTGAAATCTGAACTGTTTTAAAGACCACGCGATGCTGTGTGCAAGTCGATATCCTGTATAAATCGAGACTACGTTATTGTCCAAAATAAAGAGTACGTAAATTGCAGAATACAACCGGGAAGGTTTATTTTTTCTCAGCAAGCTACGCACAGAGTAGGAGTTGATTAAAGGATGCGTCTCTTCTTTCGATAGCTTTAATACATTAAAAATAGCGTAACAATATTTCTCGATTCTTCCATTGTCTTCACAGTTTTACGCACCTCGTATAACTACTGCACTTCTGCCGTAAATGCACAAAATCCGCAGTCCGCTTGTACAACAATAATCGAACAATGTCCAAGAGAAGAATGGAACAGAATATGGTCCGTCACCGGTAGAATAAAAATACACGATCTAATCCAAGACTTTTACCAAAACGATACCGTAAAACAATATTATACGTATTAAAGTTGGGCTTATTTTATTCGAACAACGAATCGTTTGCTCGAACAATTTATTCGACAATATTCTACAAATAATATTCGATTCGTAGAATTTATTCGATATTATTGTACGAATGAAATTTGCTTCGTAGAATTTATTCGAAGGTTTATTCGAACAAAATTTCGTTCGAATAAAATGGCCAGCCCGGACACACGTATTGTTAAACATTCGACGCATTCTGAAACGGTGTTCCCCGAAAACGTTTATTCATAGAAAACAATGTCCAATAATACTTCTCGAAATGTACACGATCGTCCACGCGAACCGGACATATTAATACTAAATACTAACAAGCATAATCCGTTTCTGTAGCCGTTCGCATAATCTGGACTGCCTTTATAATATCACAAACATCGAAGTTCATTTGATTAATATTATTATTATTATCGTTACACAATTTACGAAGTAAATTCACGTCGCAGAGAATAAGACGACCGAAGAAGACGAACGAGGAAGATGAAATATAAATGGCCGCGTAATAGTTTACGGTATAAAAAGAGAATGTGATATAAAAATTCGATAAGAGAGACTATGGAGAAATGATAATTCACGAATCGTCAATCGCGTATCGTGCGAAACGAGAGAAAAAATGAAATGGATCGAATGCATTGCCATCGGAGCCAAAAGTCGAAGAGCGATTGCTCGATGGAGCATAAATACACGTGCGAGCCGAACGATTTTTTTTTTTTTAGATCGGACGATCTCTAGGCGACGATTTTCGGTTCTCTCGGTGTAATTTTAAGCCGCAGCCCGTTCGCGTTGTGCAGAACCAATTCGCTGGTGAAGCGAAGCTCGTTCTCGTTGTCCAACGATTCCACGTGGAAATTCCTTAGCACGAAGATGATGACCACTTTGACGATCATGGTGGCGTACCTCCAGCCTATGCAGTTCCGTGATCCGGCGCTGAAGGGGATGAAGGCGAACGGAGGGTACTTCGGTCCATCGGGGAGGAACCGTTCCGGTCGGTAAGAGTCCGGGTCCGGGAAGTATCGAGGATCGCGATGAAGAAGAAACAGATTCACGAGAAGGGTGGAGCCGATTGGAATATCGTGTCCCGCTGAAACAAACGCGTCGCCGTCGATTACGCTGCACCCAGAGCTCTGCCGAGTCGAAACTCAATTATTCGAGCAATTGTAATTACAAAGCAATTCAATGATATCGTAACAAATAATGTAAACACAACGATGTCCAAAATAAGAAATTACAAATGACAATTAATATCCCATTTGCAAACGTGAATTAAATTCTCTATTTAATTGGAAAATCATGCGATCGAAGAACATGAAAAGGATGTATTGTATATTATATATTATATTATTATTATATTATATTATATTATATTATATTATATTATATTATATTATATTATATTATATTTTATTGTATATTAATTACGCTTGTTATATTATATTATATTATATTATATTATATTATATTATATTATATATTATTGTATATTAATTACGCTTGCGACTAAAGTAATTACGCAGTCGTGTTCAAGCATGCAAGTATATTTAACTATACTCACATATGTTGATGGGTTTATAAATTTGCCTGCCAATTAGCGGCGCAACCGGATACACCCTCCAAGATTCCTTTATGCACGCTGTCAACCACGTCAATTTGTTTAACATATCGCACTCGAGCTCATTCGTTCCCGCAACGTTATAATACTCGTCCAGAATTTTCTCCTGTAGAAACAAAGATAGCTTCGTTTAGATTCGTCCACACCGACAAGCATCTTGTGGCACTCGGTAAAAACTCGACGAACATCTCGCTGTTTCTCTCGCAGAACACTATAAATACTAATCAAATAAACTAAATACGCGACGTCGGACAAATATCGGATAAATTGCTTCGCTTTCGTCATCCGCCGTCCCTCTTTTATCATCCACGTTCTTCCTTCTCCATCGGGAAAATTGATGGGAAAACGTTGTCGTTTTCTTAACCCTTTGCGCTTGAAGCCGTTTCAACTGTAAACCTAAAATAATTGTTCCGACTTACGGTGTTCCCATTTTACACGACAGGGTGCAAATCTAGACTTCGTTGATACAAGAATTATTTCGATGATACAAAAATTCTAGCGGTGCCTCCGAGTGCACCACTCGAGGGTTAACTCGCAAAGGGTTAATACATACTTCCAATAACAGCTTTATCTCCGAATCTATGTTCCTCTTTGAATGTTGTTCCACTTGTTTACAAAAAGGTTTGCAAAATTTATACGATTTTTCTTGCCGAGTCTTTGCCCGAACTGCGTCTCGAACTACGTGCTCGATAATCTTTCGCTCGCGTGCACACGATTCTCATGGTCGATACCAGAAGGGTTGAATTCGCTGGCGCG